TTCTTCGTAAGTAGCAGAATCCCTCCCACATAAGTCTTATAGTGATACAGGGGATGAAGCTCTGGTGAGGCTACATGAAAAGGTCCTTCCTCAGGAAAACCATAATCCAGAGCTTCATTCTGAGGCAGCAGGTCCACATCATGCATTGCTATGTAGTCTGTATCATTACCGCTCTCCATGTAGCCGACATTAATAAGAGAGGCTCTGTTAAACCTGCAAGACAGAGAAAATGTGAAATTACAGTTCAACTGTCTACATTTAGGAGCAATTTTACACTCAGTAAGGCAGGGATGCACAATATACAACATACAAATTATAATCACATCATCAGTCTCTTACTGATCTGATGAATCACAGGCATTGACGCAGTCTGCCTTTATGTACTAGGGGTGTATTGATACATATTTCCAGGTGGAATTAGATTTAATGTATTGTTTGTTAAAAACAGCTGAGATAAAAGTTATCAAATAAAATCTCGTCTGCAGCACTGAGTTTGAAATAAATCAGCTCCTAAAATTACAATCCCTAAGAAAAAAAATTCAGCTATTTGAGTTTTGGCGTGTGTATATGATAAGCTTCTCCCCTTCTCCCCACCCGCTTTAGTCTGATAGGATGCATCTACTTGGTTTTAATAACTGCCAGTGGTTTCCATAAAAGGCGGCAAATGAGAGACCCCAGAAAGACCAATACTGGCAATACTGTCCAAAACTTTTTAAACTATTTTATATGTTCATTTTTTCAATTTTTTATATCGTATTGAAACTGTTAAACTCTTATTATGTATAGTAATTTCTTAGAAAATTTCCTTTAGTTCTTCAGTAGCAACAAAGTAATAACAATAGCCTGTTTGCATTAGATATCATGTCACTGCGCTGCTGTGGCACGAACTGCAGATGGAGGGCAGAAAGGGACTTTTAACACAGGAAGCACGGTCATAAGCTCTCAAAATACCTATGGTTTGAATCATTTACAGTTGCTCCAATCAATCTAACCTAGAAACCATGAAGAGATTTTATTGAGTACCAAAAGTTGTTGCTCATAAGGGAGAAAAATGCAAGAAATTGAGAAGAAAAAAAAACAAAAAAAACAAAACAGCAAGAACCTTTGCCTGCCATCAAGAGGAGTATTGTATTTTGAACAGTTCATTTATGGGTGTGCACTGATGATAGATTTAAAACAATAGCAACACCACTTCCACTTGAATTGGGATTAACAGTTACATAAAAGACAGCCAAACGTAAATAACTTCCCTACCATGCCAGCTTCTTGTTCAAATTTTCCCGTTCCACCTTAAATGGTGCAATATAACAACTGCTGCACCATTTAAGGTGGAATGGGAACATTCTAATAGGAAGCTGGAGAATATGAAGACTTCAGCCTCGTAAAGTTGTATCCCTCCATACTTTTGTATGCTTTCATTTGTTTTCTTAAGTAGAAGGATGTCTAAGGGGCCTCGACAGCATGCAGATCTTTTAGTCTGGTTGAAAAATCTCTCCTCATCATGACATTAGGATCACATCCAACATATGTTATGCTTTTGTATTTATACCTTTCTCTGGTAATATTGTCTTAACTAGCACAGTCCAGGCTTGCCTCTGTTTTTCACTTCCTGTCCTCCATCTGGATTTTGCATCATCAGAATCACGTGACGTGACATAACTGGAACAGAATGTTTTGTAATCTGCATCGCTAAAAAGGTCCATGGTAAAATGTATTCAGTGAAGTAAACTGTATTTCCTTTAACCATGTGGAAGTTCTTTAATCCATCTGATTCTGAAGAACAAAAGAGGACACTTACCGAAAATGATCCACCTGGTTAACGACAAGAATCTTGTGTCGAATTTTCTTTTTGTTGAGGAAAGCGTGCATGTATGGCACAAAAACAAGAAGTTCTTCAAAACGCTCTCTGAAAGGAATGATGACAGCCATTTTATGTGGTCCCCAAGAGGGGTCGTCGACAGTAGGGGTCTGTCTCTCCCCAGGACAGGGCTGGTGAGGAGGGGGTCCATCACGTACGGTTTGGCTCAAGTCTCCAGAACAGCTCAACTGCAGCCAAAGAAGGGAGCCCAGGACAAGCACCATGCAGAGGCCAAACAGCTTCAGGACCGTGCATTTCCTTGACAAAAATCTGCAGCAAAAGGTCAAAGTCAAGGTGTGAAACGGAAATCGAAACAAAGATCTTCAAAGTTCAGCGAATAAGAAACACAGCAAAGCAGAAACACAGCTGGCTAGTAATTTCTTGAACAGCCTTCAAGCAAACTCAAGAAAAAAATAGTGGTAATAAACAAGAACTTGCAATCATAGATTTCGTTAGGCTTAATTATCACATACTGCTATACTAAAGGGTCCATATAATGAATAAAAAAAAACACATTTTTTCCCCTTTTCTTAAATAAATGTTTCAAGCAGTAAGACAATATTAAAGTTTCAAAAGGTATCACTCAATCCTCAGTCCATATACTGAAATTATGCTGCAAAAACAGCTTGTTTTGAATTTGTTGTTTTTGTGAGGTCACAAAAACCTGTGCATTTACATATATCCACTTTTTCAGCCTACAGCAGTTTAACACTACCCAGCGACATCGAAGTTACAAGGAGTGTTTCAGCCCTGACTGCTTTTTAAATGAGCCAATTAGGACAGAGATCTTTAATATATAAATTTTAAAGGCACAGACACAAAAACAGACAATTTAATCATAAGAGATAAAGAGAGGACGGAAATAGTAAAGTAAAAAATAATTATGACTTTTTGGTACATAAAATAACACAAAATGCCATACGTGGAGGAACAAAGTATCACGTGGGCTTGTTAAATGAATTACTTCTATATCCCACAAATGCCACAAATGATTTGTATGAACGTTAAACGACAGGCCAACATTGATAGAGTAACTGTGCATGAACAAAACAGTTTGGAGTCTAACTGAATAAATGCCACCACTCCACACAAGGCTGTGTACTGAAAACAGGCAAAACATCCCATGCAACAAAAGAATCCACTCGCTCAACCCTCAAACAAGCAACCACACAATCTACCAGCAGCTACTCACAGTACATCTCCATGATGGTGAACCTTTTGGTTTTCGCTTCTTGGAGGAGGTTACCCAAAAGTATACAACACACACAATAGCTACTTCTTAGCTCACTGTAAGTAAGAGCGTCTCAGGTTTTGTTATGAGGCTGAAGTAGCCTTCCTATTTGCCAGTTTCTTGTTCGAGTTTTCCCGTTCCACCTTAAATGATGCAGCAGTTACATTCTAATGCCTCAGGCTCCAGAATGTAACTGCTGCACCATTTAAAGTGGAACGGGAAAACTCGAACAAGAAGCCGGCGAAGAAGAAGCTGACTTTAGCTCGGCGTTTTTTCGACTATGTCAGATAATTTTAAGAAAATAGAGGCAAAAAATAAAAGTAGATTAAACAGTAAAGACTATTGGTAATAAAAGAACTTACCTTCTGTCCTCTTTGAAATAAAGCACCGGTTTTCTCCGTGAAGAGTACATCATCTTTGTGCTCTGGTGCGTCTATAAAAGCTACCTAACAGACTAACTTAACGTTAACTACAGCACACAGATACATATACCGGCCTATTTTTGTTAAACAATGTTAATAATCACGGTCTTCAGCTAAGTGGCTCCATCATAAACTTAACCTCTCCGTTTTTCTTTCCCTCTGATCTCCCTGAAGAGGTCTGATGACTCTGCTCTTACATGATCCGGCTGAGAAAGGACTGATTGGTTTCGGTGTAAATTCAGTGTAACGTTGTTTATCTAATCTGAAACAGGAGGATCTGTTCTGTCCTGCCTGCCCGTGTTTCTCCGCCGGTGAGCCGATGGCGTTACGACACGTAGTGAGCTAAGCTAATCATAACGACGCTGCGACTCTGCTGAAGTAGCGCCCCGCATACGGTCAGTTATCAGAGACAGTGCCGCTTACAGTACCGGTTACCTAAGCCAGGACGTTAAAAAGATAACAGCGATGTCTGTTTCATATGTCAGTCCTTTACAGTAAAATATTCAAAGAGTGCGGCATAAAAAAAATCACACGCTGGCTATTTTCATTCCGTCCGTTCACTGAAGCGTCCCGACGGAAACGACGCGAGCTGCAACAACGTTCCTATTTTTACCTTAGGATCACAGGCGTTTGTTTTACAGTAATCAGTATTACAGTTTCACAACAAACGAGGTTAAATGGATGGTTAAGGAAAAAATTAAACTCACACAGCTTTCTCCTTAACCCAAACGTAGTTGATGGGCGAATGCTCCGACTTCTGCTAACTGTGGATAGTGTTTCTCCAAAACGTCCTGTATTTTGTTTGGATCTTCAGGCAGCTTAATGCTTTGTTCATGATATCTGATTGTATCCCGTCCATCTGGTAGCTGGCCTCTTTTACCTTCAGTTGTTTCAAACTTAATAGTAAATGAATTCCCATAACTCTCATAAACCTTGTAATCTGGGCTTCAAGCGAGAAGCTTGAATTGGTCAACAATCCAATTGTTTTCTTTCCTGTCCAAGGTACTCTCAAAAGTCTTTACCAACACCATTACTAAACTACTAAAAAAGCAAACTCTGGACACCAAACATGTCTTGGGTGCTCAACTACATTTGTTGTAAAGGGATAATTACATAAAATTGATTTTTCAATGCACCATTCCTTTTTAAATTCACTTGCCAAGTGCTGGTCCTGGTCCAGCGGAACTGTATGTACCATACATTATACAAATGTGTCTGTCACTGCTGTAAATAGAACTGATTAATTGCAGCAGTCCACAGTTACAGCCCTGGGGACATACTTGTTTAGTGTTGTTCAGTACTCTAACATACCTGATCGGGTAATGACAGACCTTCAGGCAGGTATATCTGAGCACAGTGAACATAAAACGGCACAGTGCAGTACATAACATGATCAGGAGTAAACAATGCTGCTGAACAGCATAAGATGATTCAGACAAATCAACAAGGACGTGATCAGTCAACTGGAGGGAAGCCAAATCTTTATTTCTGAGTGCAATCAGGAATATATCAGACACAATCTTTCCCTCCTATGTCCTTATTTAAAAAGCTTTCACCCTCAGCCAGCAATATTTGCGTACCCAGATGTCTTCCAATTACCCCTAAAATTATATATTCACATTCTAAAACTCAAAAATGGGGGAAAATAAAGCCAATATCAACAGGGGAAAAAAAAATAATGTGGGACAAGGAAATATACTTTACTCTTTCTTTCAAGTATTAAAAACGGCCATCACCGAAGGAAAACAACTCAAATATCAGCATTTTAGGCCTATGAGGATGAGGGTGCACATTTCAGTGTTAACAGGGCAGATCTTCATGACCCAAAAAAGTATGATTGAATGTAACAATTTCAAGAAATACCTGAGTATCTAAACACACAGGAAACAATGGCCATGAAATTTGAATACAAATGCAGCTAAATGTAGCATGGAACATTTAGTCCTTTAAGAGTGTAGTTTATTTAAAACTTGCCCCTTACCTAAAATGAACAAAAAATCCCCCCAGAAACTAAGCAGTTAATAATACTAAGTGAACGTGTTTAAATTCTGTCCTTAAAAATTCAACAGATTTAATGTCCAAACAATACCGAACTGTATACTGTTACTGAAGGACATTTTTTCTTAAAGCAGTCTGTTAATGTATACCTAATGCAGAAAAAAATTCAGTACAGATCAAGTCTCTGTACTCCTGTCTGTAGAAAGGGTACGAGAGCTGTAAACGACACTGTGATACAAATTTGGCTAGGCATTTATGCTGGAAAACAGTTCATGCTGATTTTAACAAATGGACATTAAATAAACATATGAACATACATTCACTCTGGAAAACTTTAAATAGTTCACTAATTGCTAAGTTACAAAGAATGTTTTACACATTACAGAATCAGCGAGTTGATTGTTTTGTCTAGGATAAACTTGCATCTACAGTGTAGGAACATTCCACACACAAAGCTCCAGATACAAATAATTAAATTTTGATAAAACTGGAAATTTGTTATTCTAAATAAAGTTCAGGGGGTCAAATTATTCAAACTTGTGAAAAAAAGCAAATATATATCTCTGGTCTGTATTTTCACCTGTGGTAGAAAAAAAGCCAAAATACAAAAAGTGGTTTTGCACCTTAATATGAGCAAATTTAAATGGCAAAAACCATATATTATTACCAAAAAACATATATTACTGATACTATTGAGAAAGAACATTCTCCGTTCAGAGCAAACTGTAACACACCTCATGGGGATGTGGCACAGAAATATGAATTGCGAAATAAATCTCAAGGCAAAATTGAGAAAATTGAGAGGGGGCTTGAACTGAGAGATTCATTTCAGCAGTCTAGACTTGAAACTTTTGGAGCACATCATTCTCAAACTCCGGTGTACTGCATTAACTGAAAAAAGAGAACATTGCGATGCACACCCTACACTAATTTCTTGGCCTCAAAGAAACTCTTGAGATGTCTCATCTGCCAGAAACCAATCGCCACCAGAATCAGTGTCTGAACAATGGACCACCACAGCACTCTTTGATTGGTGCTCTCACTGGTCTGTCTGAAGCGTTCTTCACGGTACTGAAAAAAAGAGAGTACAGAACTGTAAAAGCAGTCATATAAACATATACACACAAATACAAAAACAACCAAGGACACAAGTGTTCTTTGCTTTTTACATGTGGAATATAATCTACATCCCAGTTATAACCAGCATGTAAACAATGGGACCCTTACTCTCTGATAGTTTTGCTCCTTCTGAATCTGATCGACCTGCTCCACCAGCTGGCGCACCCTGAGCTGCAGCTTCGTCAGTTTGTCTTTGGCAGCGATCTCTGCATAGTTATTTGTGTGCTCTCCCACTTGGATGTCCAGATGAACTCGCTATGGAGGAGAATGATAAAAAACTGCTGGTATCAAAATTCAGGATTCAAATGTCAGGTTTCATAATATAGACCATAAACATATGGTTTAACTCACAAGCATTCCACCAGCAAACAGAGAGAACTTGGAAGAGTTGGAATGCAAACAGATCTGATGTTCTCCAGGTGCGTGGGAGGTGAAGGTGAACCTCCCTTCCGACCCATACTGACGAGACAGGATCACCTAAAACAAATCAAAAAGTTGAATGTGCTGAACTTCAGCACTAACACAGTTTTACATTATTGACAAACAGCCTATTCTTAGACAACCGACCTTCTCATCGGGATCTTTAACTTCCACAAACATTCCAAGTCCTTGTGTGGCAGGCAAGTACTCTTCTCTTTGTTTGTCATAGAGCTGTGTCCGATAGTTTCCTGGTGAAAATACACATATACATGATTGTTATAAAATGAGAAAAACTGAGTTTTGACATTATTAGAATTCACCATCACTCACAAGCTTCTTCAAAACAGAAAAACTTTTTATTTAACCACATCAAGCTATGATAGTGTTTTGTCTTTCATGTAATCCTCAAATACAAGTGCTGGGCACTTTGTATTGGTTTAGCTTCCACTGTTTTGTAATTCGCTCTAGGTAAGAGCATCTGCAAAATATAAAGAAGGCAGGAAGCAACTGAAGAAATGTGGACTACAAGCCATGATCTGAACCTTACACTTATATGAATTGTGATGCAGCTTCAAGCTACATAAAGACATTTGCAACAACAGGATGTGGTTTAACAGGGAGAAAGTACAGTAGAGAAACTGTGCAGAGCCAAACAATGAACAAGGACAATCACCGGTGGCTCATCTCACCCTGATATAGGTCAGATATTTGGAAGAACTGTATTTTGCTCTTTAAGTATTTTTTTTTTCATCAAAAATTCTGAGAAAGGCTGCAAAATCACAAAGTTTCTGATTAGTGTATTTGAGTATTTTCCCTAGGCATTAAAGTGATGTATCAATACTACTCCACTGAGATGTATCAATACATACATAATCACATCAGAGTTATATATTGGGCACAACACAAAAATACAATAACACCACACAGTACAAGAATATAAGTGATAAGGCTGGCCTGGTTTTCAGAAAAGCTTCAGTCTGATGTATAATCTAATGCACATTCTAAACAATTTCTAATGGAAAACAAACATTCTCTTCAAGAAAACCAGACAAATCATCATATTTAACAGCTGGGAACAGTGCAAGATAACGGTTTCTTTGGGTTTCTCCAAATATAAACTACCTAGATGTAGAAAAAAGGTAAAGTCTAAATAATCTCTAGCCACGGTTAGCCAGATACATCGTTAAGCTTACTAGCTTTGGTTACAAGTTGCTTCCAAGAGGCAAACCTGAAATAAATGCCAGCATCTAAGAAATGACATACAACTTTGGTTGAAACAGGCCCTGCCCAACCATCCCCCACATTGTGTCAGACCGCTTTTACAGCTGAAATATCTTGGGAATTACTAATATGTTATAATATTAAACCTTTCTAGAGCCCTGTACAAGCCTGGACGATAATGCAAATTTAGACAAACAATTATTGCCTGCAGAAATATTGTAATAAATGATTTTATCGTGATCATAAGTAAGCATTACAAAGCTATACCCTATAGTTAACATTTTTTACTTATGATAATATAATTGCTGTATAATTATCCAACTTGGCTTGCTTTACTTCATCACTTACAATAATAACTGTATTCTGCACAGACAATGTAACACTTAACAGCTAGTGTATAAGCTCATCCATTTTATTATCTATTCAAATGTTTTAACATGTTTGTGTGTAGTTTGGTGATGTTGAAAGAATTTTAATTTGTACAATATCGGCACTTATTTTTAAATTCGATGATATCAGTATTTGGCCCAATTGTACCTCATTTACTCCTGAAATAAAAGCAGTACTAGAATAGATTTGTTCAGTACTCTCTACATCAGGGTTGCCCAATCCAACCACCCTGAGAGTTTGAGCCCAGTCCTCAGAGACACTCCTACTCAGCTCCACTTTCTGGTCGTGTTCCACTTCCTAACACACCTGAAACAGGTAATCATGTTCCATCCTTTCATTACCTGCTTCAGGTGTGTGAGGCGCCAGCACAGACTAGAAAAAGAACATGGTTGTAGGTCCCCGAGGACTGAAATGAAAAAGCCATGTATTACGGTAGCAAAAAGACAAACATACCAACTCTCTGGCCAACTACGGCCCTATGAGAGGCTGACAATCGCTTCAGAGAGCTAGCCGGCTGTTAGCGGAGTTAGCTAGTTAACGCTTGTCATTTAGCTATCGAAATACCCACGCTTTAAACGGCGACACCGCACCAAATACGATGTAATTCGGAAAACCTATTGGATCTTGGATCTTAACGCATGCAAGTCAGCTATCTAACTATGCTAGCTAGTTGCTAACTACTTAGCATGTAGCTCTCCGGAGGACGGGCTGCTAACACAGCTCAACTTTGGGAAAACTTTCACTTGACCTACTGACCAATTATCATAGTTTCATCCGGGATTTCTTCTATGAAGCATTTCTTTTCCGTCTCGCCGATGTGAAAGTACAGTGCCGAGACGAGGCTGTAGCAAAGATTCAAAACCAAAACCGTGCATAACGTCAACTGCATTCTGAACACCACCATCTTGCCACTGCCGGTGAGCACTGAGGCTGCGTGAGGACACCAGTGCCACGTAACCTATCGCCTTCCGCCATCCAATCAGAGACGACTCACTAAAGCTTGTCTGGTCCAATCGAGTTTATTTCCTGTATATCAACCCGACTGCTCCAACGGTTATTGTAGTTTTTGTAGAAAGTGAGTTAAATGTAATGGCCAATGGCCTTTTTTATTATTTCCTACTAATTTCCTTTTTATTATTTCCTTCTAATATCCTTATTCTAATAACTAATATTCTTGTAATTTTTCCCTCGAGGTCCACTTTTAATGTTTATGTGATTTAATGTACCAACACGTTCATAAATAATGTTTACTTGGCGTGTGTTGTCATTCAAAAGCCGTCTCGGCTGAAACACTCCTTATAGCTTCAGTGGGAGTGGGCGGAGCTAAACTGCTGTAGGCAGAATAGATTGATTATGTAAACGTTATGGTTTGGGTGGCACCTCAAAAACAGGGAATTCAAAACGGCCTGTTTTTGCAGCTTGGTTTATATAAGTAGATAGGTATGGTCTGAGTACAGAACAGTATGTTTTCAAACTTTGACTATGTTTACATACTACCATGATATGGGCCCTGGACATCAGTGGGGTATTTCTATGGCGAGCTGTTTCAGCTCCTAATTCAACCTTTTTTTTTAATTGCTATTAATTTATTTTAATAGTAATAATTACATTTTATCATGTAAGACTTCTTGATCTTGAAATCATGCTTTGAATTATGTTCTTCATTGTAAAAATACTATCCAAACATAATATTTAGGATTTTAAAATGTCACAATTCTATTTTTACTTTTACAATTAATACTTTTAAAGTGAATTCATGCTAATAAAAATTTCTCCATCTATTAAAATAAATTGGGAAAAGCTGTGAGTTCTTACTCTGCGTGAACTGAAATCCTATATGGTAAAATACATCTACTAATGTCAAATTTTAAGTTTTACTTTTCACTATAGTTTTTTACCTACTTAATGTGAATGATATCAAAAATTGTTTATTAAAAACAGCTCTCTATGTATTGTCTACGTGTTGTTAGACATTTGACTTTGGCTTAGGTTTTCTGGTAAAATTGAGGAACCCTGCCACCACCTTTTCCCCCCAGAGGTAAAGTGGGACAATTAGGCTCAGTGTTGCTGTGCTCTACTACATTTGTCAGCTAATGACAACTAATATTATTTGTTTCTGTAGTAAATATGACTAAATGATTCAGATGCACCCAATAACAATATGACGGGTCAGTGTGATTGGATAAAAATTCCTGTTCTAAAATGACAAGGCTGCAGTCTTGCCAAATATTTTGTAATCACTTGTTCTTTGGATTTGTTATTAAATAACAATAACTGAATTAGCCCTAATGTTTACAGAAAGGTAGTTCCACGTTATCTTTGCAAAACATGCCTCAACCTGAAGGCTGACTGTAGTGCTGTGGAAAGTCAATGTAACAAATTTCAGCCACTACTGGAGGAACTGCTTTATTTACAATCCATTCACTGCAGTTTTCCTGTACAACCTTTGCCCATTCTGTGTCACAGAGAGTAAGACTTGTGTATGGAATGCCAGCAAAAATGTACATCAGTGCATTTTAATCAGTCCTTGATCCACAAAGATCCATTTCGAAAACTATGTAGCTGTATGCTTCCTTACAGTTGATAGTCAACTTTGAATTAAAAAGCAGAACAATGTGTTTACCAAATGAATTAAGATAGTTTTGATCAAAAACAATATACGGTCGTCTCAAAGTTTGGGCACCACTGATGAAGTTCTATGTTTTGTTGATTTTCTAAGTGAAAATAAGTTAACACATTCTCTGCACAATTACTGTTCATTTACTGAATTTAACATCTTGAATAAAGTAAAATATAGCCTGTGCAAAAGTTATGACATTTCATATTTTACAATAATTTTTTTACAATATGTTAAACTCAGCAAATAAATAGAAATTGTGCACTAAAATGAGCAAAAGTGTCATATTTAGTTTTTTTTTCCTTATAAAGCACGTTAACTTATTTTCACTTAGAAAACCAATGAAATATGTAATTTGATAGGGGTGTTCAAACTTTTGCATAAGACTGTTGATCATTATTCTGCAGCACTTTCCAAACGGTGTGGGGTCCCTAGTATACAGCCACTAAAGTTCAAGTGAATACAGACCATCATTTTATAAACAACTCGTAGGATGTGCATTCACCAGGAGAAAGTAATACTGGTGGATCTTTGGAAAATTCTCCTTTAACACTGTAAAGCTGGAAAACTGGACCAAAACTGTGAAAGTGAAAGACTGGATTTAATTTTTAAGATAACAATATAATCTTATTTTATACTCATTTAGCTAACACTTTTGCTAAAAGCAATCTGCATTAACCAGCTGAACTATCATCCTGGAGAAACATGCTGTAAATGTTGAGTAAACATGCTGTTTACTCAAAGTCAAAATGGCAGTAGCTTTTATCCGGGATCAATCCCTTATCCACTTGAATCCTCTTTTTCAGACCTTTTTCTCAGATCACCACTTTTCTTTCTCAAGAGAAGTGTACTACAATCCCCCTCACAACCAACAGACGTTAATGAAACATAACCTGAAAGAAAATAAGTGCAGATTTAAAAAAAGCAATGAATGTTTTTTGATTTACATCAAAATAAAATCAAAATAAAATTATACTACTGAAAACATCTGTCTGTCTGTGTATGCACAGACAGACAGAGATAAACAGAGAATTCACTTGTCATACAGCATGTGGGCCTACTTGAACCAAAAAGACCTCCAATTGTTTTTGTATTTTTCTTTTTACTTCAACTGTTCAAAATGTGTGATCGCATGTATTTTGCTGTATACACTGGTGCGACCTGCCAAATAATTGTTACTGAAACCACAAACAAAACAGAAAAAAAAATCCATGTTTGTCATTGAAGTCACCCTTCACCCCCCATTTTCCCAGCATACAAAACACACCTTAGATGATTCTTCCAATTGTTCACTTCAGTACTACGCATTTTCACCACTGCTAAAATTTCACATTTGTCTCCAACCCATAGAGTTCTTTGAAATTGTCCTGTTCAGGTTTGTGTCTAGTAAAATCTCTTGTTCCTCTCTTGTCATTTCTGAAAGACCACAGCTCCTACCAGTAGGATCATCAATGTTGTCTGTATTGTGAGAAAACAAAAAAAAATGCAGCCGTAAAAACAAGCAGAAAAGTGTATACAGAAATAACCATTACTACATGACTTAACGGTCAACTAGTTGATATTAAAGTGTCAATAATGTATAGAATGTATATACCTATACCAAGACACAAAACAAAACAAAGAATTTTTACAATATCGAACAAAAGAAAACAGTTTTGACTGTAGGCCATACATTTTCAGGGGAATTAAAAACAGATTTTTCAACATTTCTGCCTAATTCAATTGGTGACTCAGAGTGGTTTGTGTGAAATGCTTTTTTCTAGCGAAACTGAATTATTCACAGTGGTGGTGATAGGAACCAGATGTCTGAAGAGTTTAATTCCTCTCAAACCTCCCTCACTGAGTTATTACATGAAATGATTACAAATATGTTCCCTGATGCCTGAAAGTTTAGTTTAGTTTTATGATAGATTTTGGGATAAGGCCTACAGCATTTTTTTTAAATACGCTGGCAAAGTGCTACATGCAGGGCGCTGTACGGCGATTTTTTTGTATTTACCATTACTTTACCTTTATAAACATTACATTACACTCAAAACATACGCAAATTCACTGGTCATTTTGGATATGTACTAAAATGGCTATATGTAAGCTGTAGATAACTGATTCCTATCACCACCAGTATTAAAAATCTGAGTGACTAAGTTTCTCTACATGCACTATTTCACATCATACCACTTTTGAGAAAACTGTGAAACTTCCCTTTAAATTTATCAAAATCAAATGTGCTACCTTTTGGAGACTTGAGCAGGCTGACACTGGGCTCAATCTTAGTCCAGTCCTGGCTGTCCTCCTCAGGAGTGTGTTCTACCATCAGTTGGTACATTTTCATAGAGATGATGTCATGGTTGTCTGCACAAAAACACAGCACAAACAGGCTTCAGGCATCAGGAGTATAAAGAATAATTAAAAGAGTTGTCTCTATATACATAAACAAGGCTTACCAGAAAGATCTCCAGTTGCGGCAGAGGCTCCAAAATAGTAGCCTGTAGGGAGACGGACTCCTCCAATATCAATACATTCTTTCCACTCATTTCTGTCATCAACGTCAACCATAATCTACAAAGATAAGGAGTCGATAAAGCAATAATTATCTAAATCCTAAAGCATTCCACTGTGTTCATTAACTCTCTGAACATAAACAACAACACTGACTCGCCTGTATGAGGGACAAACTAAATCAGGCACTGGTTTAATCTGACGAGGGGAATGTTTTCCAAACAATCATATATCCTTAAACGGGGGGTTCTTCAAGCGTTCTTTTGTAAAGGCAATAGTTATACATAGAGCCATGATAGCTAAGAGCCACTTGAATGCTTAAATGGCTCTTTGCATTGTTAATGTAAATGGTTCTTTAAAGAACCTTTAAAAAATGCTCTACATAGCACCAAAACCTGAATTTGAAACGTTTTGGTATTGTACAGAAACCTTTCCTTTGTATGTTAAATTCAGTATTAAATTTAATTCAGTTCACATTTTTACGTTCCTAGGTCACTCTTTACATCTCCGTTTCCTGCATACTAACAGCCTGGTCCTGATCCAGAACTACTTCTGAAAATGTAGTTGTTTATCTGTAATTTGGAATATCACAGAAAGAACAAAGTAATTTTTCAATGCCAGTATGTAGCCAAGTTCTAGAACTAGGAATGGGCATTTTAACTATTTTTGCTATTTGAACATCCAAATATTTAGATGAATGATATGTGATTATCATATTTCCAACAAGGAGAACGTTAATATTGTTATGAATGAACAGAGATGCATGAGAGCTCTAAATGTGCTATGATAATACAGTAACATAAAATATAGCATGACATACTCACCGTCTTTTCATGAACCTTTTTTACTTTTTAGAATTAAAATCATATAATTATAAACATGTGACCGAATATTTGAATTCACTGTTTAGTTTACAAACATTCACTTTTAAGCCTCTTTTCACACACTAGGTTTAGCTTAAAGACATTTGGAGCTTACAAGACATTCAAACAATGTATTCTTTACTTTGTATGCTGCAGTTAACAGTTTTAGACCATGGTCAACTCCTGCTATAGAGAGTTGGTCCCTTTCGTGCAGGCATGTTAAGTATGTACGTGTCGGCCATCGGGCGTAGTCTCTGAGGTGTGTTTGAGTGCAAATTGACACAGGAGACGAGAGCCGATGGTGAGCAGATGGAAGGCAATCATCAGATGTATTTCCCACTAGTTCTTAAACATCGGCTTGGTGTGCGCTGCATGTAACGTTTGATTGAAATGTTTGAAATGATATATCAGTTATATAGCTTTGGAGATGTTTGAAACCCTCTTCGTAATCTAGCATTCAAACTACTTTCGTGCACTTAAAACTAGCCCTGTCATATAATAAGCTTCTTCAGTATAACATAAAGTTGTACTTTGTAGCACTTTATAATTAAGTACAATGTCAACTTCAGCATTAAAAAACATATTAATAATAAAATAAAAATAATTATAAAAAATGTAAAATAAAGCTGGAATTGTTTGTTATACATTTTATATTAGGAATGTATGCCTCTTTCTATACTAGTGTGTTTTTATGCTTGTCTTTATTAATTCTAAAAAGAATATTTAGGAGAAAATAATGTGGTTCTTACTGTGAGTCTGCCTTTGGAGTACCGAATGGCAAGATATGTGTCGTGGTCTTTGTTTCTGATTTCAGCTGAGCATCCCCCCAGCTCTGTAGAGCGCCCATCTTTTCCATGATCATATGCCAAAGAACCATTACTCACCATTGCAGAAATGTAGGGAAAAGAACGCTAGGAGACCGAGATACAAGGAAAGTGATTAGCACAATCGATCCATTTTATACACATTATGAATGCAAAGCCAGTTTGTGATGCCGCCAAATCCGATGGTACTGCATGCATATTCAGAAATAATAAACAATCTGCAGCGTGATTCAGAGCTCATTCATCACAAACAAAAACAAAAGCTCCGCTTTCACAGGCTGCTGTCTGAGAAGGAAAACAAGTTGTAAAACATATGAAATTGTGAAGTGGATGTAAAAATTTCTAAAGATAATACAAATGTTCAAAAAGACACAATCAAATGAAAATCAGTGAAAGTAACCTTGGTGATACATTCAATCTTAAACATTTGTAACATTTGTACAAATGTGTGTTGGTGTACCACACCACACAGCCTACAGAAAAAACATGCGAAACATGCTGACAAAAATTACATTGCAACTAATCACTGCAACGTGTTTCCATAAACATACATACATAAAGCACATTTAGCTCTTACAGTTAGTCAAAAACACAACTCATAATAAAGCAACATTAAAGGGACAGTTCAGGATTTAAAGCATGTATTTACTTCAACAATACAGCTACAAATGGACTTTCTTAGAGGTACTCAAGCTGCTGCATACATGATGTTTTTTCACATTTCTCACAGCAAATAAAGCAACTGTAATGCACTATGTAGTCACAGTTATGTAAAGTGTGATTTGTAAACACAAAGTCAATTTTGATGTAGGTTTTTTTCCCCCCCACAAACGAAGCCACATCCTGTCCCCTGAAAATGGAGTTATAGTAGAAGATTGTGTTTCAGCCTATGCAGGGATGTAGTTTGGTTGATATTTATTAACTGCATGAAATTAAAACTGCTAAATAATACAAGTAATGCAAGTTGTGCAAATAAGTAATGTTGCTTATCCTAAACAGAAAAACTACAGACACCCAAACTATCCATTTAATAAATAAACATTCTGCGAGAACGCATAGGATTGTTTTTTTAAAAAATGAAATGGATGTATATTTTCACTAACAATGAACGTGCAAATGGTCTGGCGAAAAAGAGCAAAACATTAAGTATTAAGCAACACATATACTGTAGTTATCTTAACTCACATCAGAGGCTTCATCGTTTGGGTATGTGTCTATAAATATGGCCAAGCCATGGAAGTTGCCATTGCTGCCAGGGCCTGCTGGGAAAAAATCACCTGTAAGTAAAGCACACTTACATCCATGCCGTGGGGGTCATTGCGGAAAGTATCCACAAAAATAGCCAGGCCTACAAAATGGTCTTGGTTTCCAAAGACTGGCCCTAAATGAAGGTAGAAGTAGGACAAGAAACAATCAACTGGAGCAAAAAGCTTCAAACAAAAGATCATCCGCAGATAATATGTTGCCCTACATGCAAATCTTACCGTATAATATCAAATAAATACTACAAAATATACATTATTAACATAAACAAAAAAGAAGAAAAAAAGGATTTCATGTATGTTTCCTGGCCTGAACTGTACATGGACGTTTTTTTTTTTAACTCCGATCAAGTTTTGGTTTGGAATACCATCTTCACACTATAGTCATGTGCTTCAGTAAATCTCACTGCCAGAATGTGTGCAGACTTACCAGGATGTAATCTTTCTTTTGTGTACCAAATTGCAATTCCATCCCCATGCAGATTCTTCTTTCCTGATCCATGAACTTTAAACTGCACATGCATCTCCCAGTCTTTCAAATAACAGGGCTGCACAGAAAAGAGTAAGCTGTGATATTTAAGACACTGGATGGCAACGAAAAACAGAAACAAGTAATGCATTTCTGGTGACACGATGAAAAATAATGTCTATATACTTCCGTGGACCCTGATATTACTCACCACTGTATTCCAAATGGAACCCTGCTTGCTACGTTCATCAGGCGTCAAGCGTACATATTGGCTGGTCACCAGAGTACTCCCCCAAAAATCCCATTGACTTGAAGAGCTTGTTCCAACACCTGAATACAAAAATACAGAAAACAGAATGCACATAATGATAAACTGAATCTCAGCTTAATGATATCACAAAGCAAAGCTATGTTATTACAGCAGTTGTCTTAAAAAGCAAGCATAACAATTTGGCATGGCATGAATGTGGTATTAAAGGAAATGAGACTTCAATAAACACCCCACACTGCTACAATGGAGCATCTGACAGGGCAACAGCCATGCTTATTGGCTCATGGTAAGTGTTTGTTATACACAGAGAATAATCTGATGCCTGGATTTTGCTTTCTTGGCTTTGTTGTTTCTGTAGTGGTTGTGACAATCATTTTCAATACAACCAAGGGTGTGACATTACAATGTATTATATCACTGTATCATGGCTAGCTTTTCTTTAGTGTTGACATATCATCACTGGCCCAACCAGAAGGAAAATATATTGCTAATATGCACAATTATTTAATGTAACAACATTTTATTTGCAGTCATTTTAGACATTTCTATTGGTCTGTTCTTCATGAAGTTTTGACACAACATAAATGGCTTTTTTAAACTGTTATTTTTTTTAATTTTCCAATGACAGAAATGAACATAGAAGGTTTTGCTCTCACAGTGACAATATGCTGCTAAGAAACCTGTCTGATCAGAAAGAACTCAACTATGTCCCAGAATATCTTTTAAAATTATGTGTTTTAGGTCAAATCCTTGCCTCAAAACTTTAGAAACTAGCAAAACAATGTCTCAGACATCAGGCACCATATTCATAACCACATAACCTCCTGTAAAGTAGCATTTAGAGGCATTAAACGCTTCAGCCATCTGGTTCCTATCACCACCACTGTGAGCAATTTTGACTTTGGAAATTTCCTTAAAACGGAGCATTTCAAATCAAATCATTCTAAATTACTTCATTTACAGCTTAACCTGTTAATGATGCACTAATTTTGAAAAATCGGTGGAACTCCCCTTTAATCCACTCACCAAAATGACATGCTCAGTTTATAGCTCAGTGCACCAAGAACAGTACAGTGACCTGAAGCACTTTGAATACAATAACAACGAAAACAAACACAGTTCTACAAAACTTTCGTATCTTCTTGAGGAAGAAACTGTAGATTAGAGCAACTGATCCGTGGATTAATTCATGAAAGGGTTAACTAACATTAGCTGGCTCGAAACACTAACAGGAACCTGCCTGTTTGAACAACGAAGTCAGCTAAGCTAGCTAGCTAACTTTGCTGGTTAACGTGAAACGGCTGACAGCTAAAACTAAAACCTTATTTTTCTGCTTATTCTGCCGTTTCTTAAAGTAAACGAGCCTCCGGATGCAGCTGTGATGAGCTGTGTAAAGTAGGAGCTACAGGATATAGCTAGCTAGCTAACACACAGAAGTTTGACTAGCCAGCTACTTGCCTTGATATGGTTTAATGAGTGAATGCTCCCGCTTTAAGTGCTCAGCGTTGCCGTCTGTTATATCTGAGTTAACTGAGGCGAAATGAAGTAACCATAAGAGCAAGAATATTTTGTGACACATTTTGCAAACACCTCCTTGAGAATAACTGAGAAACGCTGAGCGCTTTCTCTCTGGAGCCATTTTCTTCAGTTATTCTCTTCCTAACCCGCAACTTCCTGTTCCGGACGAGAAACACACCCCTGTTCATTTATCGGTCCGCACCGCAGAGTCCACCTCATTATGCCAATGACAGAACGTTAAACGGCTCCCCTACTCACCGTATTGTGCACTATTTAAATATGAAAGTACACCGATCAGTCCAAAAATTAAAACCACCTCCTTGTTTCTACGCTCATTGTCCATTTTATCAGCTCCACTTACTATATAGGTGCACTTTATAGTTCTACAATTACAGACTGTAGTCCATCTGTTTCTCTGCATACTTTGTTGGCCCAGTTTCACCCTGTTCTTCAATGATCAGGACCCTCCCAGGACCACAACAGGGCTGGTATTATTTGGGTGATGGATCATTCTTGGCACTGCAGTGACACTGATGTGGTGGTGTGTTAGTGTGTGTTGTGCTGGTCTGAGTGGATCAGACACAGCAATGCTGCTGGAGTTTTATACACCTGTGTCACTGCTGGCCTGAAAATAGTGCACCAACCAAAATATCCAGCCAACAGTGTCCTGTGACCACTGATAAAGGGCTAGAGGATGACTAACACAAACTGTGCAGCAACAGATGATTTACTGTCTCTGACTTTACATCTACAACGTGGACCAACAAGATAGAAGTGTCTAATAGAGTGGCCAGTCAGTAGACACCGTGTTTATGAACTCCAGCAGCACTGCTATGTCTGATCTACTCATACCAGCGCAACACACACTAACAAGCCACCACACCATCACTGTCACTGCAGTGCTGAGAATGAACCATCCAAATACTAACTGCTCTGTAGTAGTCCTGACCATTTAAGAACCAGGTAAAAGGGGGCTAATTAGGTGTTGTTCTTTTCTTTTCTTCTTGGCTAAAATAGGAAGACATATCTCAGAAATCAGACCCGCCACCAAGGTAATGAAAATTAAATACAAAAATGAATTAGTAACTAAGTGTTAATAACTAAATTGTAAAAGGAACAATAAGTAGATTCCTTCCCTCATAAATCTGAGTAGAAGTAAAAGTGCTCAGGAGTTCAAATTTTATCAAAATTTTACTTGAGGACATGTAACTTAGATGTGACAAGTAAAATAGAATGTAACATATCTGTCCTACAGTAATTATCTCTGACAACAAAACTGCTTCCTCCATTAATACAATGTAATATAAAGTTTGCCTACTCAAAGAGCAAAAATGAAAAACTTAATACAAATAGTATTGTGAATAGAACTGTTCCATCTGAAATAATGACACTGCTCAAAAGTGACTGAAAACTTTACATTTATTTAACACCCAGATGCTGTTTTACAATATTTTAGGAAGGCCATTTTTTCCCCAACAATTTAGGAAGCCATTCAAAACATTCTGATAATATACATGCTCAAGTTTCTGCCCATTTTAAGACTAAAGCACGGATGGTTTATTATGTATCCTTCAGGAAGTGTTTTGTAAAATTAAAAAAAAGAAAAAATACAATAAATACACAAATGAAAAATGTCATAAAATGTACAGCAGGCTAAAAAAATATATACAATATAGATGCATTACTGTTACAACTGTATGTTGCCCAGAGTAAAGGCCTGTTTGGATATATTTCCAGGTTATGGCAAGTCACCAAGTCACATGTAAACGATGCATGTACAAGTTTACTACACCATGCACATATTGTAAAAGATTTACAATAAATCATAGATTTTTCTTCCTACTGCAATATTCTGCATGTTCATCAGTGAGAGCTTGGGAATAGTCTGAATTCCAGTCCCTCTGGAAAATCTTCTGCAGTTGATTCTGCACAGTTTGCTGCCCCTTTTCCGCCACAGAGCCTGTCTGATTCACCACAAGCCCAACTCCAGCAGTCTGGCTGAAATAATTTTCAGACCAGTTGGAAGTTCCTATCAACACAATATAATTGTTAGCCAAATCTCACTTTAGGCAAATTAGAGTGGACACATACTTTGGAATGACTGTGAAAAGAACTCCAAGTTCTAAAAAGACAGCCACAACTGCTGCTACAGCAAAATAAGACAACGTACCAATGTAGGCAACTCGATCAGTCACCATGTACTTGGCATGGTTGACACGGGCAAAAGGGATAGAAAGCTGCTCAGGTGTAGAAGGTACCTCAAACACTTTCTGTGAAATACACAAAAAGGATTAAGTCAGTAAAGGACTATAAGATTGTGGTCAATAGTCTGCTAGGAAATCATTAACACACAGCTAGAAAAATCTTTAACATACAACATGAATGTTGCATCTGAGGGGAGTCTTGTTGAGCACTGATAAAGACTGCATGAAGACAAACATGGCTCCAGGAGAGTGGCTCCAACAACTGACCAGCAGCTTCACCTCCACTCCTCTGGCACATGCAGCCTCCCTAAGTGCTGAGTCAATGGCAGGCCAGAACCTAGTACATACAATGTAATGGACACAGAATTCACAGAAGATCTTGTTAGGTCAAAAGCAGACCATAACCTTACACTCTTAAACTATCCAGTGTAATATTCTTATTCTTTATTTGCTTAAAGAAACCCATGCTGAATCACTGGACTCTGGGACAATAAATGTTACCTTATTGGTTGAGTGAACTGGGACATAGGAAGATAGTCCATGACAGACACATAGACGAATTCCTTGGCATCATCAATGACGGACAGGATAGCCGAGAGATCATCTGACCGTCCGTATGCGGATAGCTGAGGTGGGGCACTCTTTTTATATTAAAAAATAAAAATAAAAAAAGCTGATTAACAATGCAGTTGATCATTTTAGATAAACATAAAACATTCAGAATATCTTTCTGCCAAGACAATGAAGGCACTTCTCTGAAACCAGAGGAAAGGTTTACAAAAGAGTCACATGTTCATGCACTACACTTGCTTCAAAGGTAATTCTTTGAAGCAGCTGGATGCCTTTTTGGGACAAACAACCAACCAGAAAGTTTCTTAAAACACCACATATTGTGAAATTCATATAAAAGCAGTCAGTGCAGACTAGAGGCTGGGGAATGAATTTGAGAACAGATGGTGTGGCAATGGTATTCTGAAATAAAGAAGTTGCTCAAGACCTACAACCATGCATGCTAGGACTGCACAATTTATCTTTTGTTAGTTATTTTTCACAATACCGGCCATTGCAATACTGATACAACAAAAGGATGTATTATGTAAGAAGCCCCCTAGCAAATGTATCATTTTTTATTGCCCTGACCAATTTCAGATGTTCTAGATAAGCTTTTCTGTGGGTGTTTTGATAAATCAAGGCATTCACATGATTCATGTGTAACCAAATCTGGTCAAATACTGCAAAATGCAGACCAATCATTAATTATGACACATCAAGAGCCGTGTTTTCAGAATAGGACAGGACATACTACAACCACAATATGTTGAAATAACATCACAAAATTGTGCAGCTCTAGTACACATAACTTCAACCAACAGACACAAAGACATTGTGTAGAGTGCCTGGCATCCATTTGATGCACTTGTGAGAGCAAGGCAATGGAACTCACAGACAGATAGACACGTGCAGGGACACCGTTGAATTTAACAGCTAATGGGTACTTAGAGCTGGAGAGAGCAGAGAATCTGCCGGGCCAGTAGGGTGGGAGGGAACCATTTTTCTGACCACCAATTTCCCAGTAGACTCCAAATATCCTTGACGCATCCTGTGCCAAACAGCTGCAGTCCTCCACGGAAACCCCAACCTCTTTTACCTACCGAAGAAAAGGATAACGGCTTAATAGGGATATTCATTAGTGGCTGAACATCACCAGCCTAATTTCATCATTTAGAGTTCTAAAATAAACAGAGAAACCACCTGAGAATGCCACATGTTGATACCTGGGTTAGAGAGCGCCAGTCCATGTTTGCACTCCCTACATACATATGCTTGTTGTCCACAACCCACAGCTTAGTGTGAACAATACCCCCAGTGACACTCTGAAGGTCAACTTCTCTGATCTCTGCACCTAAACAGAGACAGTAAATAGGGCAAAGTCTAAACAACTCTGCTGCTGAAAAAGCAATGCTCAAGACACGAGAACATGCATCCAAATCTACCTGTTCCTGCTAACTCATCCGTGTCTGCAGTGGAAGTCTGCGGGGCATTAACTGCAATTTTCAGGTTCACTCCTCTAGATTCAAGCTGCTTCAATCTGCTGAACAGTTCTTTGCCCTGGAATGCGTCACAATTTAAACAGAATTATGTCAAAATACACAGCTATGAAAAAAAAAAGTATATATATATATATATATATATATATATATACATATATATATATATATATATATATATATATATATATATTAATACAATTATACATGAACTATATGAAAATTATGTTATATAATACATATATATAATTAGAATTATGTCAAAGTACACAGCTGTGAAAAAATATATATAATTTACTCTATTTAATCATTATATTTGCTATTGTTAAAAGCAGCTATGCAGCTATCAAGAATGCAAATGCCTTTCTGAGCCCTGAGAATGTTTTATGTAGCACTGTAGATAATACAAATACCAAGATAATAACAAAGGCTTAACTGTACCTGTATAGCACTGGGCTCAGTGAGGCCCATATCTGAGTCTCTGAGCGTGAGGTAGAAAGCAGCAATGTTGACAGAGCTGTTAGCTCGGTTGAGTAGGTTGGTCCAGGTATGTGAAATGCTCTGCAGGTGTAGAGAGCTATGGGGGAAGTGCACTCCCTCAGGGAGACTCTCAACAAGGGTGAGCCTGATGGGCAAGTTTTAAACCATGTTTAATTATCTTGTATTATATGTTCTTCCACAATAAAAAATACTGAGGTGTGACAAAAACTGCTTTCTCACCTACAGTCAGTGCTACATTGCTCTTGCGGCAACCAAAAACTTTCAAACCAATGCAGTTCCAGTTGCACCATTAGGTGAGAGACAGATTTAGGGACCCCATAGAGCCAAATGTGTTGACCAAATCCACCCAGAAGCAGCAGAACAGTTGGGAGGAGACAGAAGAGAGCAAAGCTCTTTCCTCTAGACTGCCAAAAGCAAAATAAAGTACACAAGGAGGCCTTTTATTTTCAAGCTTTTCTCCTAATGAAAAGGTCACACATTAAAAAAGTCACACATCCATAACACTTTAGCAAAAAGTTTCTACTTCACTTTTGATTTCTTGCTGTCTTGTGTACACCCAATGAGAGCTGTTGTACTGTTCAGTGTGATGTTACACTATAAAAAGGAATAAAATACAAAAATATATAGTAAACAAAGTACAACTTACCCCTGAGGATGTGCTTTTACCGTGTTCTACATGTGAGGGATCTACTGTTTTACTCTTAGCACTGACATCTGGAGCGTTCTGTTTTAGTGGTGTTTCAGAGGACACTTCTGGTGGACATTTCTCAATCTTCTTCAGCTTTACTGTGTCTCCTACAAGACACTGCTTGCCAGAATCATCTGTGACTGATTCTTTACCACAGTGTGGTAAGCATGGTGTTTCTTTTACACATGCCTTATCAGAGTCTTCTCCAAGACTCTGTATGTCTTCACAAAGGTTTTGTACCTCTGATGGGTCAGAGGTTTCAGGCAGATGCTCCTCAGGAGAAGTGCTGGAGCTGAGACCTTCTGTAACCTTATCCTGAAGATCTGAAACTGATTCTTCATCATTATCTTTAGAGGAACTCTCTATACTAAAAGACTGAGGCTCTGACAGCGAACCTGTCAGATGCGACTCTGTCTCAGCCCTGAGACTGGGTCGCTGAAGTAATCCTTCAAGCCCCTCAGAGCCTGCATATGTATTTGGTTCAAGCGAGTGTTTTTGGTTGAATGCCAGTGGCGTGGCCTCTGAAGTATCAGAGATGGGATCTGAGAAGTCAGCAAGAGAGAGATCATCAGTGCTGCGTGAGTGTATGTTTGTGGACAAAATAGGCAAGGTTGTTTCTTTGTCCCCTAATACTGGCAATTTTGTTCTCAAAGGCTCTCCTCTCTCTTTCATTTGGCCTTCTCGACTGGAGCCCTCTGTCTTTGCTGGCAACGATGACTCTGCAGTTGGGGTGGTGGTTCGCTTGCGAGCCAGCGAGCTCTGGAAAGTGGGGATGCGAGAGGTGGGTCTCCCAGATTTACGTGATTCATCCCCCTCCATCCTCTTTTCAGTTGCTCCCTTATCTTCATCCTCTCTCATAATCTGATGCACATCATCATTTTCAGTTGCCTAAAAAAGATCATGTAAAGACTTTTTTATAGCAGATGATGGGACTATTTAGTTGGAGCCAGCAAATGGAAGGGTGGCACAGACAGACTGTAAACCTTAGCTAAGTGATAAAGTGTACCTTACCGTTACCGCTCGTCTGCTTGGTGCAGACACCAACGAACAAAGTGTGCAACAGACCACATTTTCAACCTTTAATGCTTTACCGCCCACGACTCAAACATTAAACCAACGCCCGACACAATACACTACATAGCTGACGTTTCAATAAAGATAACAGATATCTGGTTAGGTAAGTTACCGGTTCTCAAACAGAACCACATATCTAGGAAGTGAACGTCCTTAAGCTAAAACAGCTAATTAGGTTAGCCATCTAGCTACATAACTATATTTCAAAACACAAAAATAACGCAAACTTACCATGACTGGCACTGCTACGGGTACAATCAAAGATGCTGTCTAGCTAACTAAGTGAGAAGTTTTCTGTTTATAACAATATTAACTATTTTTTGCTTCTAACTCCTTTTCTGTTTCCACTGCAGAGTCCCTAACTGCCCCGAACTGGCTAGCTAACGTCTGATGATTAGCTGTTGCCGTGTATCTAAGCCCCTCACAGCTAACGTTGTTAGCTGACTAGCTATATTAGGAGACAAGGCTTGCTCCGAGCGCAAGTTACTCTCTCGCTTTGCTACGTGGCTGTGGGTCTGTACAGAGTCAGGAGGAAAACCTCGCCTACTTCACCAGCTCCAGCTAAATACCCACCTCTGCATAACGGCCAATATTTCTTAGTCGTGCTGACCGTCTCAGTGGTGTCTCTGAGCGAGTTGACCGCCTCCGTCCCATAATGAAACACAGAAGATGAACTAAACTCTAAATTTAAATTAAATCAACTGATGTTCATCGAGAGTGAGACGATGTAAATCAACTATTACACCGACTCGTGTAACAATTTGCTGTCTAAGATGATGTGTTTTGATTTATACGCGTGTTATGGAACAAAAAATCGGATGACCGAACAAATGTCAACAGTTTATGATTCAAATTGAACTAGCCGCGGTTTCCGGTCCTCAATCACAATTGGCGGTCTGGCAGCGGAGCCGCATCTGCAGAGAAAACGGAGAGTGATTTACCACACACTTTAAAACATGAACAAAGAAATCTCTAACGAGGGCAGGAAAAGAGTTTGCAATGGGCAGAAAATTTAATTTAATTTATTTCGTTTGTTAATTTATTCGCTTCTCCAAATTATGTATTTTCTCTGTTTTATTTTTTCAATGTTTTCAGATAAGATTCACTGTGTTAATTATATTATTATTTTGTCTCCCTTAAAAGCACATTGAACATGTGTTAAAAGGTGGTATATAAATAAATGTTATAACAACAACAACAACAACAATAATAATAATAATAATGTTATTATTATTGTTGTTGTAGTTACAAAAACAAATACATAAATTAAATATATGCATGTAGTCATGATTATGTTCTTACTTATATAATATCTGTATTAATCTATGATTTAAATACACATTATATTATATTATATTATATTATATTATAGTGGCCCCAATCTAATGACAATGACATACAGCAAAACAAGATAAAACTGAAATTATTAGTATCATTATTATCATCGTTGTTGTTGTTGTTGTCACAAAAACAAAGATATAAATAAAATATATTTATGTAGTCATGACGTTGCATTCCTACCTATACAATATCTGAATTAGTCTAGAATTTAAAACCCCATTGTGTTAAATATATTTGATCAAATACGAAATACAATAATACTAAAAAATGACATAAACCCGACTGTGCCGCTAGATGGCGTCATATCATAACTGCTCAGAAACGTATTAATATTCCGCTTTCGCTCTCGGTTCGCTGCAGAGTCATAAAGGAACTGGACGGAGTGACAGCTGGGCGTTATTAAATTTACAACCTAAAGGAGGTACGGTGTGTCTTTTCACATTACACATGCAGAACCTGTCTAATACTGCAGCCAGTGGTTTGTCCTTAGCTGTCTTTTTAAATGTGTAAGTACAGTTTTACGTTAGCATGTCACTTTGGTAGCTTAGCTACAAGCTTAGTAGTTTTAGCAAGTTAGCTAGGTTAGCTATGTTTACTTTTGTTGTTGTTGTTGTAACTACGGAAGGTTACACCACAGATATAATCTATGCCTGAGATGTTCGTAGTATAAAACCAGTCCTAACGTTACTTGCTTGTTCCACTGGTTACCGTGACTGAAATAGTGCAGATTGCGCACATATACGCTGCTGTAAAAGACGTTAGCTGAGATTATTTTAATCCGTCGTAATGCTGTTGAATAGTAACGGAAGTCTCGTTGTGTTCTCATTTTCGTTCCAGGTTTGGGCTGTGAAGGCAGCTTGGCGTTCTTGATACTGACAGCTCGACTCTTTATGTTAGCTGTTTGTAGTGGCAGTTTTATATTATGACAATGTGTGCCTGGCTCTGTTTTTACACTCATTAAATCGTAGACCGTAGACGATGACTTACTCACTGTCAGAAACAGATGATTGGCCAGAAGCGTTGGAGGAACACCAGCGATTTAGGGTTTCACATTTACTAGGTATTCTCCATTCTAGAAATCCTCACCTGATTAGTCTGTATCTTCAGCATTCCCTGATTGTCTAAGGCAAACTTGCATAACTGCACGTCTAGCAAGGTCTCCCTCTCTCTCTCTCTCTCTCTCTCTCTCTCTCTCTCTCTCTCTCTCTCTCTCTCTCTCTCTCTCTCTCTCTCTCTCTCTAACGGCTCAGGTTTGCCAAAGGTAGAGATAAGGCATTGAGAGACAGATGAGCACAATGAGCTAACCCAAATATTTAATGTGCTTTGCTGAGTGTCGTTTTATGCACTTTTGTTCTCTTCCACTATTCCAGTTTATTTTTTCTTATTGTATTTTAACTCCCTAACATACGGCACCATTTTTTAAATCATTTACATATAATCTTCTCTGACATATCACAATCATGGAGGTTACGCCTTCTAACCCCAACTCTTCCTTGCCACCACCACCTTTCCCAATAAGTCCAGCTATGGCTCCATCTGTACAACTCGGCGTCACCATAGTTTATACATGTCTCTACGGAAGTTTGTTCTTGATAGTGTATGTTCAGCTTTGGCTGTTATTTCTGTACCGCCATAAAAGGTGGTCCTACCAGAGTGCTTTTCTTTTCCTCTGCCTGTTCTGGGCGGCCCTTCGTACTACACTTTTTTCCTTTTACTTTGGTAATGCTCTTGCGGCCAACCACCTTCCCACTCCAATCTACTGGCTCCTCTACTGTTGTCCTGTGTGCCTGCAGTTCTTCACTTTGAGCCTCATCAATCTGTACTTTACCCAGGTAAGGTATCTGAGAGCTAGATTTAGGCCAGTACATGGTCAGTTTTCAGTTCTTTTACCTTATGCTCTTTATTTTGTCTTATTCCAACAGGTTTTGCTCAAAGTTAGAGGATTATTCAAGATGGAACGCAGTAAAGGATTGTGAGTAATTTTGTTCTTATTTTGATGTTGAGTTATTAAATGTCGAGACCAAATGTTACAGATGTTTAAGGGATCTGTTAAAAACATTTGTCTTTTTTCTCAGGTGGGTGGCTCGTTGTGTGTACGCAGCCATGAGTGCTGTCTTCTTATGCGTCAATGTGGTTTGCGCCAGCCTTGGGGAGCGAGGAGGCACAGGTGGAGTTGGAAACAAAACCTGGAGGCTGGTTCTGATCCGAGTGCTGGTGAACGACTTGCTTTTCATTGCAGAGGCCGTGTGTCTGGCCACTTCCCTCCTTCTCCTGACCCGATTCTCTCCGTCCACCAGCCCTTATCTACACAGCAAGGTATCCTGCAAATCTGAATTAATCATCATCATCATATCATGCATGTAAAATGTTATGTTCAAGGCCCAGCCAGGAATTGCTGTACTAGTGAAAAGGTTGAGCAGGCATGCCTCACAAAGCTAGATTCCTGGTTTAACAATTTACAAATTTTATTAATTATTAATTCTGTATATATATATATATATATATATATATATATATATATAGATATATAGATATAGATATATAGATATAGATATATAGATAGATAGATAGATAGATATCAACAGTATATAGCAGCTGTTAATTCACTGTGTTATAACTCCATCTAAACCTTAATTAACAGAAAAAGTTGTTAACTGCTGCCATAAAACGAGTTAACTGGTTGCATTTGATAGGTTTTGTGAAGCTTAAACTTAGTCAGGAACTAAGTTTCTAATGTATTTAGAAGCCTAGAATGAATTTCTAACTAGTGAAAGTGCATAGTGAGAAATGCCCCAATATTAATTCTAAGTTTAGTAACGGAGAGCATGGCCAGTGTACACATACTGTACGTTTTTTTACAGAACTTTTGTTATTAATTTTCAAAATACCTACTGGAGCACTAAAAACTTTAAGTAGTTAAGATTAATTTTGATGAATGTGGATCATGATCTTGAAATGTTCAACCCCTTTTCTTCAGTTTCTTTACTGACTGTAGAACAAAAACGTCTATGATTTGCTGTGCCACAACATTTGCTGTGCCACTGGCTCCCACGCAAGTGTAATAGATCCACCACCAAGTTTAACAGTCAGCAGGTGTTATTTTCTTGAAATGTTTTTCCTTTTTATCTCCAAACATAACATCAGTGATTGTAGCTAAAGAGATCAATTTTTGTTACATCAGACCACATAACTTGATCATTTAAGCCAGATAGCCTCTGGCTTATCTAGTCTAGGGGTTGTTTTGCTTTCTTCAGACATTGATTTTAAGTTAAGGTTTCCTTTGATGACCCTCCTATGTAGATGATGTTCGTCCAACAGCACTGGACAGTGCATCACTGCCTGTGTCAGCAGAATCTTCTTGTAGGTCCTTGGCAGTGATTTGGGAGTTTTGCTTTGCATACATGACTAGTCTATGAACACTTCTATCAGAGATTTTTCTTGGCCTTCTAGATCTTGTCTTTAAGAGTTCTCTTTAACTTTCATTTCTTAGTGACAATTTAGACAGTGAAAACTGTAAGCAGGAAGTTAGACATCTTTTTATAGTCTTCTCTTGGTTTGTATAAGCCAATTATCTTTAGTTTCAGATCCTCAGTGAAGTGCTTGATGAGCCTGTGAATGTTGAGTATAAGTACAATACCTTCAGAAGTTTAAAAGTGTCAAATAATTTAATAAACTCTGGAACTGTCTGCACCTTACTTGGATTAATTCCTAATGAGCCAAATAAACTCTCAAAAATTACCTTAAAAAAGACCTTAAAAATGTAGTAGTAGAGCAACTGAAAGGATATTCGGACTTATACCACATTTTATATATTATTTTTTCCAGTGTGTTAAATGTAGCGATTCAATAGGAATTGTCCATTAAAATGTTCAGAAATATGTCATGTTAGTTTAAGGTTGTTTAATGCAGATGGGTTGTTAACTTACTTCCACTTATGTGTAATTTGACCAGGGATGTCCACATTTTCACTTACAATTGTATATACATTATCTGTAGACATCTGTTTTCTCTTTTGTTACAGGGGACCACTGTTTGCCGGACTGCAGTGTTGGGAGCTGGTGTAATCTTGCTTTTCTTGAGTAGAGCATGCTATAACCTTACTGTGCTCATCCTGTCCCAAAATCACAAGGTAGCATCCTTTGGCTTTGACTGGTACAACATCTCAGATCAGGTATGAAGCTTGACAGAGATCTAAGATATCAGAGATGATGGAAATGTACTCTAATGCATATATCAGTATATAAAGTTAATGTGTAATCCTGTTTCTCTGAAGGCTGATCTTCGTAGTGAACTTGGAGACACAGGCTATATCGTGTTTGGGGCTATACTTTTCATATGGGAGCTTCTACCTACCAGCCTCCTCATTCTGATATTCAGAGTACCACGTCCTCCCCAAGAAGCGGTTAGCTTTTTGTCTGTTAAAAGAAACTGTATCTTGGCACATTGCTTTTTGTTTGATGTTTAGTGATGGGTTTTTTTCCCTTATGTTGTTCCAGAGCTGCAGTCCAGCTATTAACACAAGGGGCCCACGTTCTTATTTCTTTGATGACCCACGGGGGATGGATGGCGACACTGGTGCTACATGGTCACACAGCCTGCGTCCTAATAACAGGTATCTCAACAGTTGGTGGATATTTATTTTCATAAAAAAAACGCTCGGTCCAAAAAAGCTTCAAAGGCTGTCTTTGAGTACTTCCTCAAATAGAAGAAACTTTGTACCTTTAAGTTTTGACATGATTATGGGTGAAATGTTTCCACCTCTAAGGATACATAGCAACTTGAAAGTTTTTTTTTCCACTATCTTAACGTTTTGGTTATGAACTTCATTGAAGGCAAACATGATTAGAACCAACTCTTTCTATTTCTAACAGCTGGTTTGGCTCCACTGAGACAACTCCACTCCTCTTCAATAGGACAGAGCAGACCAGCCAGCATCACTCCCTCTACTCGACTCCACAGAACTGAGCTCTTCACAAGGGATTTTAGGGATTTGACTCTGATTATTCTCAGGCAGTACTGCGTCAGTACCTCGTCCTGTGGAGACCAATAGGTATTATTTGCACTGACGCTTTGTACTCAGGCTTGCACATTGTATTTTTTTTTAACTGTTAACAGAACTAAAAGAAATCCTTGTGACTTAATACATGTACCGTTTAAGGGGATTTGCAGGCTCTACCCTGTTTACATAAATAAGGACCAATACATTGCTATTTTTTCACTTATATAAACTTTTGATATTGGTTAAAATAATGGAGCATTAGTGGAACTGACTCCTACTTTATCAACTAATATGTCTTTCTCTTGGTTTCAGAAAACTGACAAATGTGAATCAATGAATATTTGTTAAATTTAAATGTTCTTAAAGGGAAGTGTAAGGGACTATGATCCACTTATTTTTCTGTATATTTTATTAATAATTTAACTGCATTGTTTGCATTATAATGGATTCCACAAAAGACTTTAGATTGTATTTTTCCTACATTGTAGAAAAGTAAAGCGCAAAGGAAAAAAAACACTGACATGAACAGTTTATTCTGCAGTATGTACAGATTCTCCTATTAAAACACTTTATACAGTATGTACACATACGTTAATTTACTCTGCCATGTTATGTATGATTTCCCCTCTCATAGCAAAATTCAGATCTAAAGAAAATAAGAGCTAGAAATGATCAAAAGCACAAAGAATGAAAAAAAATATCCACCTGTAAGGACAGATGGCAAATCCAAAAATCATCCTCCTATTTCAATACTCATTCTCTGTGATGGGTTTCAAGGAAAAAGACCATATTCAGAGTCTTAAGTGAGGAAAAACAAATGAACTATGTAGTTTAATGAATGAATTGACCTCTGGTATGTCTTAGATTACTGATTCTGCACTGTACTCAGGAGCTGGTCTTCTATCTGAGAATCTCCCTTACACTTTATTCAAATTATCTTTGAAACTTACTCAACATGCTGACTCGATATCTTAAATAACACATAAGAGCCCCTCAGGAAACAATCTGATCTCATACACCCAAAGTGCCAAAGGAAGGGTGTATGAGATGTGTTTCTAGTATAAGAAGTCCTTTCTGAAGCGCCATGCTTGGTTCACTGGATGAATAATCAGTGGTCAGGAGGCGGCGTGGTCTCTAGCTTGCGCAGACGTCTTCGTCTTAGCTCTGCAGCGTTGGGCTCTCCGTCATCCTCTCCTCCCTCTTCCTCCTTCTTCTCTTCCTTCTCAGCAGCTGTGGTTGAGTTTGGCTGAGAAAAGCCTGTTGCTCCATTCACAGGACCAACTACAGAGAGGAAAAAAGACAACTTAAACTCACATCCAAAGATTTATCATTATAGATCTCTCTCTCTCTCTCTCTCTCTGTCTGTCTGTCTGTCTCTCTCTGTATGTCTCTCTCCTTCTCTCCCTCTCTTCCTCTCTCCCCCTCTCTCTCCCCCTCTCTCTCTCCCCCTCTCTCTCTCCCCCTCTCTCTCTCCCCCCTCTCTCTCTCCCCCTCTCTCTCCCCCTCTCTCTCCCTCTCTCTCTCTCTCCCCTCTCTCTCCCCCTCTCTCTCCCTCTCTCTCTCCCCCTCTCTCTCCCCCTCTCTCTCCCCCTCTCTCTCCCTCTCTCTCTCTCCCCCTCTCTCTCCCTCTCTCTCTCTCCCCCTCTCTCTCCCTCTCTCTCTCTCCCCCTCTCTCTCCCTCTCTCTCTCTCCCCCTCTCTCTCCCCCTCTCTCACACACACACACACACACACACACACACACACACACACACACACACACACACACAAAGCCGCTTATCCTCCTAGGTCGCTGGAGCCTATCCCAGCAGTCACTGGCGGGGAAGGCAGGAAACACCATGGAGAGTCCGCCAGTCCATCACAGGGCAGAGACACAGACATACACACACTTTCACACCGAGGGGCAATTTAACATCTCCAGGAAACCGGAGCTACCCACTGCGCCACCGTACCACCCTTATAGATCAGCACTACTGAAATATAAGATCCAACTATTTTGTTGTCACTCACTAGTTTGTGCACCACTCTCCTGGCTAGAGGCCTCAGTATCGCCTGCTGAGGCAGATGACTCAGTTCTCCCTGATCCGCTGACCTCGCCAGGGCTGCTTTCTGACCGAGGAGGGCTAGAGAGTAGAAGGGGAAATGAAAGAACATGAGGAAATACTTGATTAGTGAGTGAGTTAGTGTGTAGCATTGCAGCAATGGACATAATTTAAATTCCAGCAAAAAGGTCAATGGGAACTACCAGCAACAAGTGTGAATTCCCCATTGTCAGAGATAGTTTACCTGAGCGTGGCAACAGTGGTGAGGTAGTGGTGGATGTTGAGCATGGCAGCGTCCAGCAGTGTGTGAATATTATGAAGGCACTGTAGCCTAGCCTCCAGACCTCGCCGGCCCTCCTGCTCCAGTTCCCTCAGCTCTTCCTCAGACATTGTCGATAGAGACGCCGGAGGAGGAGGCATGGACGACACTAACAGCCAAGACAAGCACAATTAAGCATAAAATCTATGAAAATAAACATGTTACTTCAGATAATTTACCCATTTCTCAAGCAGGGACGGGTGCATACTGCAAGGATCAATGGATATATGGATATCCAAACTTAGCGTTTCTTTACTATTTTGGCTGTGTCACCAATCAGAAAAAAGTGCCTGAATGTGTGTCTTGTGTTAATATGTTAATGTTTGCACAGCTTACATGCACGTGCACTAGGGGCCGGAGATGCACAAATATATAAAATGTTTTTTATATATTTTTCACAGGCCACATTACATTATTTTTTCCACTACACTGAAGTCAGAAAATACAATTATTAGTTGTGCTAATTGTACTTATTTTCACCTAGATCAAATCAACAAAACATGTAATTTGATCAGCGGTGCCAAAATGTTTGCATAGGACTGTAAATGAGTTCTCCGACAGAACATTTTCAGTGCCTGCCATGCCATCCTCTAAGAAAATATACAAACATAAAATCACATCCCCTAGAATCATTTGAGTGCGCACAACAAAAGCCCTCCACTTTACTCTAATAGGATGCATCAACATGCCTCATTGACAGTAGCGTCCATGAAAAATTATGCATGAGAGACCCTGAAAAACACAGTGGGGCATACTGGCGATTTAAAATTTTTCAAATTCCATTTTTCAATACATATTACAGTCCTATACTATTTGGTATTTAAATAAGCTAAAAATGGCTACCATATGGCATCTTATTCCTTATACTTTTTCTTGTTGTGATATTTGAATACGATTCATTTGAAAATGTGGATATTCAAATAGCAAATATGGTAAAAAGCTTGTCCCCACAAGGTAAAAAACAGGTTGTCACAACTGCCAGAATTTGTTTTGTGACCAGAGTAAGGTAGGTAATGATGTATTGCTGAAGCTGGATGCTGTCATACTCACTAAAGGGTGGAGGTGGAGGCATGGGCAGCCATGGTGCAGACGGGAAAGGTGGGGGCATGGAAAAGGGGAATCCAGGCACTGCAGCTGCAGGAGCAGTGGTGGCATCATCTGTACTGGGCTGACTTGAGCTACTAGCTCCTGCATCTGCAGAATGAAATGAAAGTATTCGATTACAGTGAAGTGGGTAAAAGAAAAAAAAAACATTTATCTTTTCCTGCTTCGCACTCAGGGAGAGAACCAAGATCTAATGAAGTAATAACTTTTAGATAATGTAATAATTTGTTTAGAAAAAAATAATAATAATAATCATATTTGTTCTGTGCTGGAGCCTTGAATGCCCTGAATGACTCAGACTGGTCAGCTGATAACTACAATTATATAGTTTGAGACTACAATTATAATCTGTCATGCATGAGTGTAACGCTTAGTTCACTCTAAAGATGTTAGCCCTGTTCCTTACAGCTAATGGAATTAGCTTAATAACTCTAAAATAAGCTTAGTCTGACTAACACATGAGCACTCTAATGATAAATGGAACATATTTATAATTTATGTTTGCTTGTACAAACTAGCATATTTTAAATATTAGAAAGTTTAACGATAACATAAATTGCTCATTAAAAAGTGTTTAACCAAGCTTGCAGGTTTCATCAGTAAGCCAAATATGAGAACACAGGCTTGGATTGGATTAAACCTTATTATCAAGAGATAATGCTCACCTGCCCCTGGAGTCTGGGTTGCATCTGCACTGGTCTGTGGAGTGCTGTTAGCAGCTTGAGCACCTGGCGGACCAGCAGGGGGTGCAGCACCAGGGAAGGGACCCCAAAAAGGGAAGAGACCTGGGGGGAAGTGTGGCATCATACCTGGCGCAACTGAAGGGAACAGACTCAAAAGTCAGAAGAGAATATACTGCTGAACAGTATTAAACCAAAATGTTATGTCAATGACACTTGTAAGGTTTGCTGTGGATGGCAGGTGTTTACCATTAGCAGCTTGGGGTGCAGGAGCATTAGCTGGGGCTGCAGGGGCTGCAGGAGCTGCTGGAGCAGCTGGAGTAGGAGTTGGATTGGGCTGTGATGCTCGCAGAACATCCATACGACAGGTTGGACATGTCTGCTGCCTCTGGAACCAAGAGCGAAGGCAACTGCAACACAGACAAATGAGTCATGGATTATAATAGTTATAATAGTAATGGACTAGTCTCAGAGAGCCAAATGTGATCTCAGAATAGAAATAAATACAGGTCTGGGGACAACTTGTTAACAAGAGTACACCACCTCTGAAACCCACCCCAAAATTTTCTATTCCGTGATCTTTTATCGTATGGAATACAAGCGATAACAAAAGCAAAACAACGTTTATTCTTCAAAATGAATGTTTCAAGAACGCTGATTTAGTTTTGTAAGAGGTGTGCAAGATGCTCAAGTATAAAGTATAGTCTGGCTTTACGGAACTGTTTTTTCTCCCCCTTGCAACAGTTTTTTTTGGGGACTTTATTTTCATTCATGCTATCTTATGTCCATAGACTAACAACAGGCTTGTTGTCTGTCAGACAGTGTTTATGTGCACACTGTCACCCAGTACATTGGGCTCCACTTTTACAAGGCATTGGCTTGGTTTAGAATTCTATTTATTTATTTCCATTCCAAATAACTCTAAGTTCCCACCCAAATTAGCCCAAAATTACTCCTGGTTATCCATAGATGTTCATATCTGGCCAAATGAGGTAATGTATGTAAGAACCATATGCTGTAGGTACAAAAATTAAATAAAAAAAAAAAACAGACTGGAACCTTGAGTGAAAGATGTGGTTGCAGGGCAGTTTCTTGGCTCCAGTAACCATCTCCTCTCGACAGATGATGCATACATTGTCAGAGGCTTGCAAGTCCTCAGGAGTGGCATCTGGATAGCTGCAAAAATTACCAAGCTATGAGTGGCTGAGTAAGTTGATTTCAGACACAAACAGATGTTGTGTGTAATTAACACAGACTCATGAAGCATTTTAAGATAATCACTCACAGAGTGTTCATGTTGCGAATGGCTCGTCGAGACATTATTGCATCCGTCACAGCCTTCTTAAATTGCCTGAAGGAGGGGGAAAAAAAGAATTTTCTGAATGAATCAGGAAAAAGATGTCCAACAGTATATCAGCATAACAGTAAAGCCTTATTCTCTCACCTCATTGCAAGATACATAGGCCGAATGGCAAACAGGGGGAAGGTGTGCACTTTGATCATTATTGTCATGAACGCCATGTACAACAGCACTTTGATGAAACCTGAAGTTTAGAAATGAGACCAATGTGTGAGAGAAGTGCTGTTTTTACATGCAATTATATTCAAGGGAGAATTAATCCTACCTGTGAAGAGCTCCGTATAGAGCATATAGACGGCTTTATTTTCCCATGGGTTCTCACTCTGTAGGTCGATTGTATGCAAGGTGTACTTAATGAAGGTGGTGAGAACCATGGTCATAAGAATTGCATACTGAAAGAGAAAGGTGTCAGAGAGTACGAGAAAGTGAGAAAAAAAAAAGCAAGAAAAAGCAAGTGTGAAATAATGAGTGAATAATAACTTTCTGGTATAGATTTTACAGTGATATATTAGGATTGTCAGTGATGTTCTGACAATATTCTAAAACATTTTTAATTCTCTAAATTGTTGTTGCATAGATCTATGAAATATTACTGTTTATCTTCAGATGTACACAATACGCTTATCAAAGACTCAAGTCAAGACGCAGCCCTTGGTAAACACAAGCAATGATCACCTCGAATCCAAAGACCAGCTGCACTGAGGCTCCTCTTGTAATAATGCTATGGCAGGCGTGATTGACAAATAAGAAATCTAGTACTCCCAGCAAAACCATTAAGGCTGTACGGGGGGGGAAAGAGGTAATGTCAGCACAAAAAAAAACTGCAAAACATGATGCAATATTAAGACATGCTTTCCATATAAGGTCGTAAAGCATTGCCTACAACTCTAAGAGCAGGTGCAGCCTCAAAATTTGCATATGTTCAAAATAGATAATGCAAAGCCCGTGCTCTTGGGGCACAGTTCATTGTTGTTTCATGTTGTGTAAGTACGAAAGTTACTGTCATCTGAAACAGTTACAACTGCATCTGATGGATCAATACAAGCATCTGTAAGCAGACTACTGTTCAAAGTCATCAGAAAGAGCAAACTATATGATTTAAACTGTTACAGACACAATCTATACTTACAGACAACTCTAAAATGAAAGACCCATGAGATATCTGGACTCCTTTCCATCTTAAAAAAATAAAAAGACCATATCAAGATACAAGCAATTTTAAATCAGTGTTTTAAAAAGTGACAACATTGTATTTACTCACAAAGTCCACTCTGTCTTCAGCCAGCCAATGGAAGCACTTAAGGAAGAGCAGCAAAGTGAAGAGGGCCACAAAACGAGGGGAAAAGTCATCCCTGAACACTGTAAAGGCTAAGCAGGTCTCCGTCACTGCGTACCAAGAACGCTCAATCAGGTGCTAAGGGATATAAAGACATGCAATATAGGAGCAATGAGAAATACAAAGCTAGTCAAATCAAAGTTTATTTATATAGCACTTTTTACAACAGGCATGGTCACAAAGCAGCTTTACAGAAAAAAAAGCCCAGAGCACAGATGTTTAGAACATCCTTAAACCTCCAGACAGAACCCACTTTACACAACACACATACCTCCATCTCTGCAGCTCTCAACTGTCCAAAAAAGACCTTTCGCATAAACTTTCCCAGCAGAAAAACCAACACAAATGCCTGGATATATAAAACCTGACAAAAAGACCAAACAGTGTACGTTACCAATACATGCAGAGCAATGTAGGTAATACACAAAATTACAGACCATTTTTACACCATTTCGCTTTACTTGTCTGTTTTTCTGACATCAAAATTGAGATACATAAACAGCCACCAACAGAAGTAAATTGCTGTTCTTCAGTCAAACCCATACATCCTCTTGGTATTTAGGAGTTCCACTGATTCTAATTACTGCTCACTTAAAAGTAGATTCAAATGAAATACATTATTTTAAGCTATTCTCCAGCTTTAACTAGATTCACAAAGCTGCTAAGTAATACTCACTAACCTGTCAGGCTAAAAGCAAAAGTAAAATTATACATGCCAAGGAGAGGCTGGTTCTTTCATGCTTTCAGTTTTGGTGCTGTATCAGTCTTGACATTCCAAGCAAGCAAAAATCCCTGCATTTCTACTATAAAGTATGTCATAAAATACAGGCTAATGAACAATAAAATGGACTTACTGCCATACTAGGGCTGCTTTTGGTAAGGTATACCACTGTAGGGTAAAACTGGTGCTTAAGGAAATAGGCATGGGCGACCACCGCACCGGTCAGTGCCAGGCTGGTAGCCGTTACCAGAGCTGCTCGCACCATTTCTGCACTGCGTTAAAGAAGAAATACAAGATAAACAGCACACATACAAGTAAGTATTATCACAGTGAATCCATCAACGCACAAACAGTCACGGGGGCAATGATGTGTAGAACTATGAAATGGGTTGATTTGCTGATCATTATTATATATTTATTTATAAATTATTTGCAGGGTTTAGAATGGTGTGCATGCTGAACGTGTAACTCAGTGGCAAGCTTAGAGCAGCATATCCTGACTTCTTGTTTCAAAAGATGTGAACTGTAAATAGTCAATTTTGATCAAGACTCAATAAAGATCAAGCTAGGTTTGAACAATACAGGAAAAATATTAATTACAATTTTTCTGACTAACATTGTGACTTGTGTTTTCTATAAATACAGGTTCAGACCTGTATTTTTATTTATTATTATTATTTATTTTTTTTTTGCCAGGAAGACTAGAATATCCACCCTTTTCTAGCTTGAGGCTTGACCCCTCAGTGTAGTTTGCCAGACAGCCAGCAAGTTCAGAGGCTCTGTTTAATTAACTAGGTTAAACCTAAGACAACAACTTTGTTGACAATGTAGCCTATAACTGTAAAAAACGCAGCTCTTGCGATTTTGATATCAAAACGACTCGTCTTTCAGCACTGGATCAAACACAAAATACCGTTAGTCATTTACTTAACAGCTGTTCAGAGTTTAGAGGCCTGCCTGAAGAACTTTCCACGCCCACTTTGCCCAAGTAAGTGGTGAATCTGTAATTCGCCATTAAAACTAAGCCTACGGTTACGTGTTACTTTAATGCTTTTTGTACGGACCGCAAAAACAACGATAAACAGTTACACTGCCTAAAATGACAGCCCGCTAGCTTCAGACTGCTAAGTTCCAGCTGGTGTCTGAACATGTTAGCTAAGGCTAACGAGCTGAATGCTGTGAGGCAGAGCTGCTGCTGTAGGATTGGTCTGTTAGAGTGCTGTTTAAATGCTAATAAATAACTTAGCTAACGTTAGGCAATATGATAAAGCCTCGCACTGACATTAATGTCACTCTTTCTAAACTCCAACCTGCATGCAGTGGTATTTTAACTTCAGACTGAATTAGCCAAGCAGCTAGCTAGCCTGCTACCAAACGCAATGCCCTGCAGCGACATTTCTTGCTGGCTTTAGCTCTTGCATTGCAGTCAGACAGACTCAGACAGCTTACCCGACCGCTTCTCCACCACAGGGCAGCCAATGTAACGCAGCCGCCGCTGAGCGCTCTGTAACCGAACCGACCGAAGATGAAGGGCGAACAGCGACGAGCTGCACCTGTAACAAGGCAGAATCACACCTGCGTCTGTCCTTCCATCCAACAAAATGATTTTTCGACCCCCAAATATGTAAAACTAAAGGCTCGGCGCAGCTACTTCTCGATTACGTGTTTATTTTTCGCTTGTTCTACAAAAGGCCACCTCATTTCCGGCGTTGCCACTCCTGGGTGTCGACAGCTGGTGGTCTGACCAATCAACATCTCCACAGCAGAGACGACGTGTTTCCCTTTCTTTCAAATTAAAAGCTTTCTCAGACCGAATCTCAAACAGCTCCTCACTCCCTACATAGTGCTATACATAGTCATGAAATAGTGACTTCTACAGCCAAATTAAAAGTCCTCTAAAAATCCACTAGGACTGATTTGGGATTCAGCCACAATTTTATTTAGTTAAGCTTAAGAAGGACAAGGTCACGGGATGGTTTTAGAGAGGGGTGGGCGATACCACTCGTCTTCTTCTTCCATTCCCCATCAAAGACACATTCAGTTTAATAAAATTGCTTAAAGAAAACACTTGGTGTCAATAATTTAGTGTAAAAATTTTAATAAATGAATATAAATACATTCGATTTAACGGCCCACCTTTTGTTTTACAGTTCGGTATAAAGCCGCTCAGACATTCATTTGTATACCGAACTGGTTCTAAATTTGCTTCTACCAAGAGTTCAGTATTATTATCAATTTTGTAACACATATAGTAAGAAACTAGGCTGCTCACAACCATGTTTGTGAGCCATGGGCCACTTTTTCAGAGGCTGATTATCCAGTTGGAATTTGGCCTTTGTATTAATAAATTCATTACAAAGGCTTGTAAATCTGTGAATAAATACACATAGTTTGTTCCACTATATAAGCCATATCCACTAGATAATCCTGAAAAAGAGCCTTGAGCTAAGTTTGAGTTTCAGGCTGTTTAAAGGGAAATTCCACTGTTTTTTTTTTTTGTTTGTTTTTGTTTTTTTTCAATGAGTACATAATTAAATGGTAAATAAAGTCATTTAGTGTGATTTGAAATGATCTGTTCTAGAGAAACTTACCAAGTCAGAATTTAAAACACCTAAAAGCTCCCTCACAGAAAGTTACTACATTATATGGTTATAAATATGCCGCCTGATGTCTGAGACATTGTTTTACTGAAGTTTTGAGGTAAGGATTTGGCCTAAAAACATATATTTTTAAAAGCCATTCACGGTGAAGAGGTACATGGGCATTGTAAGGCAAATTAGTCTCCAAAGAATATTTTTTTTATTTTCAGTTTTACCACTATTTTGCCATGGTCAACATCACATATAAGAAAATGAGAAGACCCATGTACGTCCACTGGTCGTTTTAGATAGTAAATAAAACAGCAGTTTTTGCACTGTAGACAACGTGACCCCTGGTTCCGATCCCCACCACCACGGTAAAGAAATCAAAGTTGGCACTTTTCTCTACAGTGAATAATTTGACAAATCTTGACATTTTGAAAAACCGGTGGAATTCCCCTTTAAGACCAATCTTGGCCTAAATTTTAATGTATTTAATTTCAGTGGTCTTGAACTTATCTTAGTCTAGGTACTTTTGTTCTCGGCATTTGTGTCTTTTTGGGCCAGTAAAGACCAAGTTGGAGCAGCCCCAGCCCTTTTTTTACACTCGCAAACTAAAATACATATATATTTTGGATTGTTTTTATCCATGATCCACCCAAAGTACTCTGCAGTGCTCTAGGCCTTGCTTCCACCTTACTTGTTGGTGATGGCTTGAATTTTACTCCCTCTGGTCTCAGTCATTTGGACATGGCCGGTAAGCTTGCACAAAAAATTGGACACATTTTATCATTCGTCAAACATTCAGGTGTAAAACTGGGATGTTAAAGTGGTGACGTTTAAATGTATCTCTTCAGTGTAACCACTGTGCTGTTTGGTATCGTGTTCTGTTTTTAAAATAAATAATAAAAAATCCAAATACCAGTTTTCCAGTAGTTGTAATAGGGCCTACCTATCATTGATTATTGAGCAGGAATTGAACCACATGGTTTAAAGAGACTCAATAATATGCGTTATCCAAACTTTGTAAGTACATCCATAATAAATTACTCATAATAACTCTATATTGTTAAAATTTAAAAATATCCTATTTCTCCCCAGACAGTGCAAACTAAGCTGCTAAAACAGCCCGAGTTGTTTTAGAGATATCATGAAAACCAACATATTTACATACCTCCACCTTTTTAGTTTACAGTGGTTTAGCCCTGCCCATTAATGCTGAAGTTACAGGAAAGGAGCAGAACTGCTTTTTGAATGAGGCACACTACAGGGAAAACCAATCAGAAGAAAGGTTATTTGCATATCTCAGCCTTAAAGTCACAGTAACAAAAACAGCCTGTCAAATTCTAAGGCATAAAAGAGAGCGGCCCCCCAAGTAAAAATAAAAGTAGGATATTTAGTTATTAACTTACAGACATGTACCAACACTTTTACCACAATTATGAATGTCCTTTATTCTTGACAATAAACATGTCTCCAACATTTCCATGGGTTTTTCACTTAATTGACTAAATGAACAATAATATAGTATTTTTTTCAATTCTCAAAGTACAATCTGATTGTGTTTGAAAAACTATAGCTATGCAGATCTGTGTTGTTTTGTCTCAGTTCTCCAGCATATAGTATTTAAAATTAAACTGTGGCTATGAAGTCAAAAATGCAGAATTTATGATGGAAAATGTCACATAATTTTCTTCTGCTTAGTGTTGACATTTTGTATAGTTACACCTTCAATAACAGTCTAATTTATTTATTTTTTATTTATTCATTGATTACTTGTAATGTTCTTAATTTTATTTACAAGTAAATGTTGATTTTTTGACAAAAATGTTTATTACATTTTAAATGTATTACATACTGTATATGTGAGTTATATATGACCTACAATTTGTTCTGACAAAATTATTTGACCGTGTAGCATGTAGTTTTTGAAATTCTTAACTTTTAATGGAAGTTAATGTATTCCAAGTAATTTTGGACAGTTTCTATTTGCCCATTCATCATGAAATTTCAAACAATGTAAAAGACAGCTAGTAAAAGAAAAAATACAAAAATGGAGATGCAAGGTTTTGGTCTGATAGTGATGTTATATAGGAGTGCTCTTTCTCTTTATCTCTTGCACATACAACCTTATTGCACAAAAAAAGTAGAGGAGTTAGAGCCATCTCATTCAATACTGCATGCAATGCATTTTGTTACTTGTAAGGACAGTTTTATGTTTTTGGTGGCAGTTTTGAATTGACTATTGCCAAGTTGCTGTAGTTACGGGTAATAATAGTTTTAGCACCTATCTCTTCAATAATGGGATGTGTAAGATGTGATGCGAATTCCTTCCTAACATTTTTTATGATATACGTTGTTGGGCAGGGGCTTTAAACATGAGACATATCAGTGCTGTATTCTGATTAATACCACTTTTATTAGGGAAATAAAAATGTTTTCCATTGTACACCAGATGTTATTCTTGTTATTCTTTTCAAAAACTCTTCATATCCAAGATTGCTATAGGTGTCCATGCAAACCACTTTAAAAGCCAAGTAGCTTTCTTGCAGCTTTTTCTTTAGTTTTGTCGCTACACTGGCATTGTTAGAAACCATGGCTAGTAAAGAATTGTAAAAAATAATCTTGATTTGATATTGTTGTCTTTAGCTGGCCGACGCTACAAAATCCAGTATTTTACCTGCTTGCTGTTCTGGGAAAAAAAAAAAAAAAACACCACCACAAGTATCTCCAACATGTTAAGTTTACAGGAGAAGGCAAAAATGTTATTTACTTATTTAATGTTATTTACGTCATTTGTTTTAGAGGAGAGCAATTTTGGGCCAATTCCGCCAGTCCATTCATCATAAAATTTTGGTACCATGTAAAGAACAGCTGCGGTGTTCAAATGATACCTGAAAACGAAAAAACAGAAAAAATGGATACATTTATTTTAACAGCGATGATCTGCAAGAATTGACAGCAGTCACAAAAATAGTGTATGAGGTATATTTTCCCAAGACAAAGTGTCAAGTTGAAGCAATATGGTCTGCTTCAATGCCACTTAACGTGGACTTTTGTTTGTATGCAAGTACATATACACTCACTGGCCACTTGTATCTGCACTCATTGTGTTTCATCAGGTCCATGTACCATATAAAAGAACCTTGTAGTTCTACAATTACAGATTGTAGTCCATCTGTTTCTCTGCATCATTTGTTTACCCACCTTTGCCCTGTTCTTTAAATGGTCAAAAGAAAAAAACAGAAAAAATGGATACACAAGACCACAGAGCAGGTGTTTTTTGCGTGGTGGATCATTCTCAGCACTGCAGTGACATGGACGTAGTGGAGTGTTAGCATGTGTTATGATGAGTAGATCAGACACAGCAGTGTTATTGGAGTTTAAACACTGTGTCCACTCACTGTCCACTCTATTAAACACACCTACCTAGTTGGCACACCTTGTAGATGTAGTCAAAGACAACAGCTCATCTGTTGCTGCAGTTTGTGCTAGTCAGCCTCTAGTCCTTCATCAGTAGGCCAGAGGATGCTGTTGGCTTGTGATCCAGGGCAGTACTGAGAATGACCCGCCACCCAAATAATACCTGCTTAGTGGTCCTGGCCATTGGTGAACAGGGTAAATGGATAGTTAGCAAATTATGCAGACAAACAGATGGGCTACAATCCGTAATTGTATGTGTACATATGGTAAACAGACCACAAAAAATAGACAATGAGCGCCAATACAATGTATGTGTACCTAATAAAGTGGCTAATGAGTGCAGATATCAACTTACACAGCAGGACCCTATAATGATCACCAACCTCTCCACTGCTGCTTTTGACCAGTGGAGGGCACCAAATGACAGTCAAGGGTGTCCACTTTGGTGTGAGTCTCCAGGTTTATACTTGTAACAAGCACACAGGAGAGTCATGGCTTCATTTTACAGCTGGTTTAATCTGAACTGAACTCAAATTCAATGAATACAATATTCAGTGAAGTAGAATAAAAATAGTACTATTTATCTTCTAGTTACCCATGAAGATTACAGTATAAAGTGAAAGGTAAATTCTTGTTTCTCAGCTGATTAATACATAAGCTACAAACTCCTCAGCAAAAAAGTAGCAACTCAGCTAAAAAATGCACCTGAATTTTATCAGATAAAGAGACTTTATTTAA